AGATAATGTTGCCGAGCGAGACTCCCCCCCACTCTCTCTCTCTCTCTCTCTCTTTTTTTCTCTCTCTCACTCTCTTTCTCTCTCTCGCTCTCTCTCTCTCTTACTCGCTCTCCTCTCTCTCACTTACTCGCTCTCTCAATCTCGTTCTAGCTAATCTCCTCGATAGACAGATCACGAAGGTAAAGAACCACACTGGATGTCCTTGCGACGACTCCTGTACGGGACCAGGCGGCCGCCATCACCGCGGATTCGCCATAGCCGTGGCGCTGGCTGAGAAAATCATCAGGTACGCCTTCCCTGGTTATCCATCCCGTCATCCCCTCACTGCCTCAAGTCCGGTATCGCCGGGTGATGATGCGGGACACGAGCGACGCTCAGGCGACCGAAAATAGGCACGCGTGAAGTTGAAAACGTCGTACAATCGGGAATTCATCAAGCGAGTTCTAGAGGAGCTATGAAGGCCCGGTTCTCTTGCCTCCGTTCTCCTTATATAAGGACAGAGATACGCACAAATGCACGAATGCGCTCGTCGCAGCGCCATCTGTCGTTCACAGTCGTACACTCGTCATATCAAGAACTAATAATACATTGTATTATACATACATTGTATTATCAGCTCTTGGTCATATAGGTTAGCGCCAGCGGTGGCCCAAGGTATCAGCGAAGTACAAGATGAATACTTCTTCTGAGCGCTAGATATTCTAGCTTAATCTAGCTTAATCTAGCTTAATCTAGCTTAATCTATCTTAATCTAGCTTAATCTAGCTTAATCTATCTTAATCTAGCTAAATCTAGCTTAATCTAGCTTAATCTAGGTTAATCTAGCTAAATCTAGCTAAATCTAGCTTAATCTAGCTTAATCTAAATAATCTAACTTAATCTAGCTTAATCTAGCTTAATCTAGCTTAATCTAGCTTAATCTAGTCCTCGCTTGTCTGTTAATCAGTACTAGACTAACACACTTTGTGCCTATTGTTTCTCTGCTGACTTTACACTTGGGTGCACCCCGACAAAAATATACAACGGCGGGAAAGGAAACTCTAAATCATGTCAACGAGTGCTTAAACCAATGTCTGGGGGAAATAACTAAATTTGTTAACGAGCTATTTCACCCGTGAACCATAGAGACTCGGATATAGAAGTATATAATTTAAGCAGGGTGTCATTACAAAGTCACCTGCAGTGCTAAGGAAATCTTATCGATAAAACGCTATAATTTCCTCGCGAAAATGACAAGACACGTTCTGGAGATGCATATCGTATTTCGATTTTCTCGTTTTCCCCACCCTCACCGCCTCCTCCGTTCACTGGCGCAGTTTTCTGGTGATAAATCAAGCGATGAGATAGACGTGCGAATAAATGTGTTGATCGCTGCGTCCTTGAACATCGCAGACAGGGAAGCAGAGACAAACGACCGCATGGCTAACGAGCCGTCTGAGTGTCTCTGTAGGTCAGCATAACTGACACACACATGCAGGCACGCGCACACACACACATACACACACGCACGCACGCACGTACACACACACGCGCACACACACACAT